TAAACGTTGAGGATTTCATATTTTCTAATATGGAAAATCGAAGTTGTCATGGCTCACGGTGATCATGAAGGCGAAGAGACAGTTTCTCATGGTGATATCACATTATCATCACAAAACACTAAAAGTAACAAGGATAAATATGACCTATAGGCAATATAGACATAGTTGTATGATTTAACCTCCAATAAAAGAACGGAATAACCTAATTCAAATAAACCACACAAGCAATTCCAATCCAAATCATGGTTTAAAACGGCACTTATAGGGCGGCTTGAACCTAATTAATCCGAATAAACAACACAAGCAATTCCAATCCCAATCATTGTTTAAAAAGGCACTTATAGGGAGGTGAGGCATAGAGGTACAGAGAAGGTTTTGAGGCTTTGTTATATGCCTCAAAAGTCGATCAAGGTGTACGTACGCCTTGAGGTTCTTTTCTATGCTTATAGCTTAATAAGACCCTTTGTTTTTATTTAATAGAAGGCCCATACATCCCCCGTTAAATCTAACAAGCCTTGTTTCATTTATAGAGGGGAATAAGGCTATAAGATATAATGATTCTTGGAAGACCTTCGAGTCATGATGATTTCAATTTTGAGAGTTTTAAATTGTCATATGTGTGATGCGTCTATTTTGGTTTGATGTGATCGTGTTTGTGTTTGAGACTTTGAACTTTTATTATGGTTATGCATGTGTAGTTTCCTAGTTGCTTATTACTAGTTTAATTATTTTAGGTTTTAATTGTTGATAAATTTTGAGGCTTATATCTCTTTCGAACAAACTGCCTCGTTACCAGAACTAGCCTTCGTACTAAAAATAATCCTAATCAAACACATAATTCCAAATTTCCAATAAAAAACACTTATGCAACTTAATAGCACTTTAAAAAAAACTCTGATTCACATCGGGTAGTAGCTCGGTTGTGTTGGTAGCCATTGGCCGGTGTTGGTGGTCGCACAATTGTAATCTTCATTTGTTCTTGCGCCATGTATTTTTTTGTATTACTATATCATATGCCTCTGTCACTCACGTGGCAGCCATTTAGGGTATTAAAAGGTTTTAAAATAATGCACATTGAATTTCACTTAAAGCAAATCTAACAGTCCAGATTCATTCTTATTTGAACCGAAACCTACTCCCCTATCTCACAAGTTTTTTATGTATGATTGAAAGAATAATGTTGATAATATTTAATAAGAAATCGAAACAATAATATAATACTCCTAATTTAAAATTCACATTAATTTACCCTCACTTAGGATAAGAGTAGCGATCCTGTTAGACCGGCTAAGGCCATTCGGGGCTCTTTCTGGTGGGATTTTTTGATAATTTTTTGTGATCATATTTTTCATCAAGTCGGTTTTTCGTCAATCAAATTGCAGCTTAAATTTCATCAAGTCGGTTAACTGAATTCATTACCAAAACTCTGTTGTTTATATATATAAAGCGCAACTTTTGTAAAAACTTTATTTAAATGCTTCCCCGGTTGAAATTTTAGCTGAAATTTGGTGGGCATAAACTAGACTTAATGAAGAATATGTTCCATATATCTGATCAAAAAGTTTCATCGGAAAGGGCCCTAAATGGCTTCGGCTTGACAGAGGTTCCCGTTAGGCCGGCCTGATATGATCTGCGCGTGCTCCTTAGGGTAATTTTGACACCACTGACATTACATCCTAGCTTCGTCCCTGATAGACATTATAATGAGCTATTTTCCCAAGGGACTGGAACTACGTTATCCCCTTCTTAGATGTATTTCCTTTCTACGCATCATAAAATTTGTTGGCTTGATAAATGCCATTGAATGGGGAAGTGTAGACATGAAAAGTCTACTTAAAGTCTTTCAAAAATGATTATATGATACTTGATGGAAATAATCATATTGTATATGAATAAGAAATGAAGATTTACTGTACACACACTAATAAAGCGGCCAAGGCTGTTTGAATCCAGAAAAGCTTTATAGGTACCATGCATATCTGCTATTCCCTTTGGAGTTTGGACTAGGCATATTTGCATCATCCGTGTTGGCTCTCTTATTAGAAGTTTCGGCGGAGACAATACTCTGCAGTTTAGTTTTATGCAGATTAGAATCCAAAACTAGCTACCAATTAATCAATATTGAAAATAAAGTCCGAAGCAAACTTCATTACCGTAATCTCAGGAGAGAATGAACATGTTCTCTTCGAGAGGGTCATCGACATAACATATGTGGAGACTACTATATACTTCGTATTAAAGACAATTCAGTGGATAATAGTAATACGAGTAAGTATTATGGCTGGAGAATTCAGGGGAACTTATAATGATACATATCTTACGTTCAGAGGAAAAAACGACATTTTCCGTCATAACTGGTTCCAACTTCCAATGTAGAGTTCGTGGTTACGGTTCTTGAGTTTCAAGCAACAAGGACGTTATTTTGCTGCTAGTATTTTGTTTTTGTGGTAATTGTCCTAAACCTACTATTTGAAAGGTAAAGGTCTGGTCTGATCTGGTCCGAAGTCCGAACTAGTCTTGTAAATGTATGGTCTCGATATTTTTATAACAATGGGAGCCTGGTCTGATATGGTCTATTTAAATCTAGTTAGATCTGTTTAAGTCTAGTCTGTCTGAGACTGAAAAACAATTAGAAATTGCTTCAAATAGGACTAAAACTATGGCAAAAACTCAAAATAGGATTTACTATGTTTTTATTCCAAAATAGGACCATAGTGGTCCTATTGGAAACATACTCATTTCTTCCTTCCATTCTTACCCCTCATTTAAATATTAGTAAAAGATAGCTAAAAGTCATAATTAAATGTTTAATTCATAATAAATCCGAAAAAATTTCAATAATTCGTAGAAAAATAATAAAAAAATTATTAAATTTTTTATAAAATAAAAAATAAGAAAAAAATTTATTATTACTCAAAATATTTTTATTAATTTTTTGGTATATTTTACGAATTTTTATTATTTTTTATTATCTTATTATGAATTAAAACATTCCAATAGGTATAAGGGTATATTTGTCCAAGACACAAATAATTAGTCCTATGGAAACATAGTTTATTTTGTGGTCCTATTTGTGCAAAGTGAATGACTTTTAGACCTATTTTGATAATTAACTCAAATACAATCCAAATAACACATCTAAAACTAGGGGTGGACCAGGCCCGGTCCGGTTCCGGTTCGGACCTGGGCCCGGCCGGGCTTGGATTTTTTTGGATAAGGCCCGGGACCGGCCCAGGAGTCTACCATTCCGGGTCGGTATTTCTTCTTTATTCCAACCCCCCACCCTGCAAACCCCTCGAAAACACCCAGCCCACCTAAACCCAGCCCAAACCCAAAAAAATAAAAATAAAAAAAGCCCAGACCGGCCGGGCCGGTCCGCATTTTTCAAGTCCCGGACCCGCACAGTAGCAGGCCGGGCCGGTCCCGCACAGTAGCGGGCCGGGCCGGTGCCGCACAGTAACGGGCCGGGCCAGTCGGACCGGACAGGCTCCATCCCTGCCTAAAACTCTAAATCATTTACACATAGGATTAAGTATTAATTTGCTACCCTAAATACCCCTACGGTATTAATTCATGAGAAATTTGTTATGGCTATGACTAAAAATAGGTTTTTTCCAAGAATGATATTTTATATTTGGTTTTCCAAAATAGAAGACTTATTAAAAATATACGTAGTAATAAACTACAAATTTTCAATTTTGACAATTTATTTAATGAAATTAGTGATGGCCTCGGTGCGGGCCACCCGACCCGGGGACCGGACCGGACCGGCCCGGTACTGTGTGGGCCCAGCCTGGGAACCGGGTACCGGTTCCGGGTCTAGGCCCGGTTTAAGGATGAAATTGGGGCTGTTTCGGGATAGATTAAATGTGAATTGGCCCAGCCCGGCCCGGAACCGGTGGACAACCGGGCCGGTCCCGGGCCTAAACCATTGCCATCCAGACCCGGCCGGGCCTAGGCCCGACCCGGACCCGACCCGGTCCATCACTAAATGAAATACTCCGTATCAGTTACTTATGAACTTGATATTATTCTCTTATTGACAATTATAGAACAAAAGAATAAAATGAAACAACAAAATTACTCCGGGTCAATGTTCTAAAAGGCGCTAGGCGCTAGTCAGGCGCCAGCCCAGCGCCTAGCGCCTAGGCGGCTAGGCGGGCGCCTAGTCGGGGACTAGCCGGAGACATAAAATTTGCATTTTTATCTATATTTTTGCATAAATATGATAAGTAATATTGTATTTTTGTGTGTATAAAATACATATATACCTATATATTAACAAACATGAAAGATAGACTTATCACATTTAATCATACGTAGTACGAAGTATATGATAATTAATCATTTAACTTCATTATGTTATAGATATAAATAATGATAAAATTTAGGTATATATACAAACGTATATAATTTTATTTTAATTTACAACTTCATTTCTTTATATACATGACTAAAGTTAAAGTACGTTAATCATTTGAAAAATTAAAATTAAAAAGTAAAGTAGTTCAGTGAATCTAGACGGCCTAGGCGGCCTATTAGGCGCTCTAGGCGCGCAACTAGGCGTCATAGGCGGTCGACTAATTCACCTAGACGGAAAACCAATTAGTCGGAGCGCCTAGACGAAAATCGGGGCGCCCGGCCACCGCCTAGCACCTAGGCGGGGACTAGTCGGGTGCCTAGAACGATTTTTAGAACAGAGCTCCGGGTATATAACATAGTTTAGATCACTCGGTTTTCATTTAGGATGTAGTTTAGGCTAGATTAGAACTTTTTCTGATAACGTCTGGAGGAGTTTAAGTAGTCGTTACTAGTTACTACCATCTTTTGACAAACCCCGTGCGCAAGAGATTGAGGACCAGCAGTGAGCTCGAAGCGCTTTGGTTTCCAAATTCTGATTTGGATCTCAACGCAACTAAAATAATAGTTCCTCTTATGAACTATGGTTACATATGATACATTACAAAAACACAATACTACTACCTTGTTGATGAGCAGTATAGATAGTAAACCATAAAATAGCAAAATATATAGCCCAGCAATACTTTACACAATGGAGCGATCAAATTTTGCATAACAAAATAACACGTTAAATAATGTCCCAACTACTTTATGGGTCAGGCTGCATCACTACCAAGTCTACAATGAAGGAAAAGAGTGACCCATGACCAGAGAGAGGCTAAACTGCTCAACATGCCATAAAAGACAACAACATTTCTTCACCTGGCCAAGTTCTACACAAAATTGTGAAGTTGGGACTATTAAACTATACAAAACAGCTGCATATGTATCTTGGGAAATCATTAGACAATGCAGAAAAAAAACTAGCTTTTCTTCTTTTTGAGACTGAGAGACTGAGATTTCAAAGCAACATTCATGTTCTTTTTCTTGATGTTCTTCTTACCACTAGTTCCATCTTCATCACTGTCAGCATCACCAAATGTCTTTCGCATCTTCTTATCAGCATGCCCCATAACTAAAATCTTCTTCTGCTCATCTCTTTCCTCAGATTCCCCCACTGGCCTCCAAATAAAAAGTGACCTGAAATTCTCACAAAACACTCATTTCAAGAACACCAGTCACTACATGCAACTTCATATGAACTATAAATTGAAAAATGAAGAGACTTTATATACAAGTTGCACAGTTTAGTAGTTGAGTTCGAACACAAACCGACTATAAAAAGAGCAATAAATGGTGAGACAATAAAAAATACTATCACAATGACAAGAATGACTATCTGCAAGCAAAGCAATAATGTTTGAATAGATTCATTTTTGAAAACATTGCATGAGTTTGGTTATAAAAAATCTTTTAAGTAAAACTTTTACTATGGAGATTTACATGAGTGAATTACTTTTATGGACCACTCCAAACTTGAACTTTCGAGGGTCCTGGATATGCCAATTTGAAAGATGTCAAAGTACCATGTTTAGGTCGATGCTTTAAGAAATGTTAAAGCAACTGTTTTACTCAGGACTGACCTTGAACTTCCAGATGCAAGAATATCATCACGTGGATGCAACTTATTCACAGGACTGATTGTTGTTATGTTCGGATCCATCACTTCAGCAACCAACTGTCCTGTGTTGATATCTATAAAATCGATGGGGTGCAAGGCAGTTCCATTGAAATTCTCGCTTATGTAACGCCCAATGACAACAAGCGACTCCGAATGATCCTGCGTATCACACAATTCACTCTCAACATTTTCAGTTTTCTAAATCACTTCAGACATTAATTATAGACTAAGTTTATTTTTAAAAATTGATTTTGAAAAATATTACTGAATTGTAAATACACAATTTTCCATAATTCAGTCATTTCAACAACTTCAGCAACTTCACCCAGTTCATCCACTTAAAGCCTTTCCAAATAGACACTAAATAAAATGTTTGTTTAGATTCCAATTGAATGGGGCTTACTTTTGGGTCCCACTCTGCTCGAAAAGCAGTAAGGTGTCGATTGAAATCATGACTGTGAACAATTTCCCTGCTAGGAGTATCAAGGTTACCATATATTGAATCCCAAACCAGAAGTCGATTATCCTGTGAAGTTGTAAGTATCTTGCTACCACTATGCGGAGAAAAGTACGCTGAGTTTACAACACGTTTGTGTGGTAGGTTGCACAGAGAAGATCCAGATTTCAACAGCCGCATGTCCCATATACGTGCCTATCATGTGAATCAATTAGATATTTTCCCCGTGAATAGAGAGGATAGCCAAAACTGTGGTGCCATATAATCACTACCCAACCATGATTTGGAATTATTACTTTAATGGTATGTTTGGATCCCGGAAAATTCAAGCAAAAGAAAATAGAATGTGATTGATGTGATTATAAAAATAAATCATAAGCTTATATTTCTTACTATTTATAATAGATATAGTAGGACTATGGTAAATACTCCCTCCGTTTCTAAAAGAAAGTCACAGTTTGACTTCACGATTATTAAGGAAATAAATTGACTTTACTGTAGAAAACACTGTTTAGACACTGTTTGACACTGTTTGGACACTATTTGACACTGTTTCGCACTGTTGGGCACTGTTTGGATGTAGATTTCTTTGCCAAATAAGGAAATAAGGGAAGTGTGACTTTGTTTTTGAAACATCCCAAAAAGGAAAGTGTGAGTTTCTTTTAGAAACGGAGGGAGTAAATAAGTTTGAAGTTTGACCAAATTTTGCAATGAAGTCAAGCACAAGAAAATAACTTCTGTTAGTTTCGTTTTCATTTTCCTAGCATTTTCCATGACAGTTGAAAAAATATCATACGAACTGACCATCGGAACTTACAAAGTGATCATTTCCACAGCTTAACAGAAGATCTGGCTGAAAAGGATTGCAGTGAAGACCAACGACTTTACTTGACTTCTTGTGAATCAAAATTGGTTCACCAATTACACTATTGCTCCTAACATCAACCCTTCAGAATTTAAAGAGATGAGTTAGTCCAATTCAATGTTAGGAGAATTCATCATGGATTACCAATAAGGTTTGTGTTGGAGTCAAAGTTCAAAGCATACATACATATATAGGTATCCAAAATTATCAGCAATGAGTGCAACATTTCTTTCTGGATTTACATCCAACCCATAAAGCATTCTCCAAGTGCTTGCTCCCTAAAGAAACATATTACATATTTGGACTTGCATAAGTTCGCTTTATGGAACCAAGTTTTTGTCCCCAAGTGAATAAAAAACAAAATAAGGAACTGAGTTCAAGGTCCCATTTAACAATTACATAACAACAAAATAGGTTAAATTCACGAATGTGCAGCTTGTAACATAAGAAATCTGATAGTGCAGAACTCTCAGTTACAATGTCTGGTAAAAAAAAAATGAATAAGTTTTTGTATGAAAGATTCAAACAAATACATGAATCAAACACTATAAAATCTTCATATTCAATTTGAAACATGAAAAGAGAATGTAGGATATTGTCATTTTAAGGCCATCAGAGAACAAATTCAATCAAACTCTGCATACTATTAGACAGTTTTTCAATTCTTCTAAGTTATAACTCAGCCCTTATATGGTTGGAAAACTTTGTAGTGGAGAGGAAAGTGAAGGAGTGTGTTACAGACCAATTCTATGGTTGGAAATATCAACGTAGAAATCGGATGATCAGGAAGGGTGACTCTGGAATCCAAAGTGGCTGAGAAAGAAATCTGTGACCTGGCAGTTTAGGCAGCTTCCTAATCAGCAGCTTCCTAATGAGCATTTATCTCTTTCTTTAATTATTCCTAGCTTCCTATTCAGCAGTTTCCTAATTAGCATTTTTCTCTTTTCTATAATTATTCCTATTATGATTAAGGAAACTTCTTGGTTAGCATTTATTTCCTTTTAAAATTAGGACTCTTGTAATAACTATATAAGGGTCATTAGTATTATTCAATAAACAGCTTTGGAGAATTAATTCTTGGATCTCTGGAATACTTCCAAGATCATATTAAATCCACTAAGCCCTTTCTTTTAATTCTTCCAACTAATACGTTCATCATCGATTCCAAATTACAGAATTCTCTAAGCTCTCGTTCCCTGCCAGTCTCTCGTTCTCGTCCGTGGACGAGATCTTGTACGTCTGCCCTTAACAGAGTGTCGTGGATTTGGTTGAGGGAGTTTTGGGAGGAAGGAAGAAAGTGGTGACATGTACACTCCCCCAAACTCACCATGTCTCGCTCACCCAATTTGGAGTAATTAGGAATTTAGGAAATACATTTTTCTTTGTTTCTAATTCACCTTTATATTTTATTTAAATTGGTCTATATAATCATTGTTAAATAATTCATTTTATGTACTCCATTGAACCAAACATAGCATTTTTGCAAACAATTTCACTTTCCTCCATTCCTCTCTTCATCTCATTCGAATCAAACAAAGGCACGATAGTCAGATGCAATAATGAGAATGCACTCTGGCTATAGAGAAATCACCTGCCATCCATCAGGATTAAGGTTCATCAATGACAAAGAAATTCCAGTTTCTATATCAGTGTAGCTAACTGTTCCATCTGAAGATGCAGCATATACGGATCCATCATTTGCTGGACTGAACCTACAGAGTCCATTTATTTCATTCAGGAATGTGTTCAGGAGAAACATAACACTACAGCACATGTATATGATTATGAGAAAATAAACAAGTACATGCTCACTTCATATTATTAAGTATGCAGCCATGTATATTTCCATAGACCATCTTCTCATGTACTTTCACAAAATCCCAGACTCCAAGTTGTCCTTTCTATATTAGAAGCAAAAGGTGAATAGCATTATAGCATCAGGAAACATGTTTTCCAATGCTTACATATGCTAATTGCCATATGAGAAGAAGAAAATGTGAACTCGTGCCTTATCACCAGATAAAAGAATATTGTGGTTAGTAGGGTGGAACTCCAGGCATGTCACCCGTCTGCTATGATATCGAATAACGGCACATTGCACTTGATCTGGGATCACAAATGTTGGCCTGATCTGTGATTAGACAAAGAAAACTATCAGACTCGTCAAGGGTATGTTTGTATCTGGGAAAATGTTAAGGAAATTGCAGATGAAAACAGAGATAAAATTTAGAAGAAAGAAATGGCGGGAAAATAAGTACAATTAAAGTTAATACAAACATTAACATAATTTATAAGAAAACCCATAATAACTTTATATACATGTTGGAAATTGTTTAACAGATCTAGACATATGTGAAATTTTAAATTGATATTGTTTCATGTTTTCTGAAGTAAGACCAAACATTAAATAATCTTTTCCCTTGGCATTTCTTTTCCCTGTCATTTCCCAAGTTCCAAAATACCCCAAGTGATGGTTAGGAAAAAATGTCGGGGCCATTTGGAAAGAAAAGAAGGAGAACAAGCTTACTGGATGAATGTGGGGTTGAATCTGGCGTTGGAAAAAATATTCCAAAGGATTTTCCTTGTTCCTACGCGGTGACGGCACTACACCAAATTCCGTTGACACTCGATATGGACAAAACATTGTGGTATGCCCTTCAATAATTAAAAAAATCATGTAAGTCAAACGGCTATATGTACTATAAAAACACAAAGCGAGTATACGAAGATGAAAGATGCCACTGTAGTTGGAAACTTGAAATAGCACTTGGAACAAAGTAGGCTTTGCTTCAACATTTCACAGGCATCATTTCATCAATCACACTCCTTCCCTAAATTCTTGGGTGAGCATCCAAATATGAAACTTTTGTAATGAATTGATACACTATTTCTTTTTTACCTTTTCACTAGAGATGTGAACATGTTATATGAACTAAAATGATAGATACTACTAGTATAACGGAGCTTGTTCTAGTCCTTCTTTTAGTATTGCATCCACAAAATAAATTCAGTTCCTGGTAAAACAAAGAAAAAGAAAGAAAATCGGAAATACCTGGCATTTTGCAGAGAAAACAGGGCTTCATTGGGCAGTCAATGTAGGTCGCCCCCTTGAATCCCGCTTCATGGCCAGTTCTCTTGCAAACCTGAAAGAAATTCAAACAAAAATCCAACTAAACAAAATCTTCATCTAAAACGCAACAAGGATCAAATTTTGGGGATAAAAGCCCAAACCTTGCAGATTTTTTTAAGACTAATAGTGATATGAGGTTTCCCATTCTTTAAGGAAGAGACTTCTTCTACTTTCTCCACATCCCCTTTTCCTTTAACTTGTTCTTCTTCTTCGTCATATGTTTCTGATTCTTTTACCAAGACCTCTTCTTGGCCTTCTTCTTCCGATGAACTCTCTTCCGAGTCAGTATCGCGCTCCACCACCACTTTCGGGAAAGATGTTCTTCTGGTTTGCGGGGGCATTTTGGGAAGAGCAGAGAAAAACTAACTACCCAGTTACAGGATATAGATATTGTTGGAGAAAAGGCTTCAGTGATTGATTAGTTGCAAAGGCGCAGACTTTAATTTGGGGAGGCGCAAAGAAGACGAAGGGAGTTGGAAACTTGAATGTTGAACACCGACTTCACTTTACCCCAAAGAGGTGCATCAAGTTGAAATGGCAAATGTGCCCTTGGCATTTAAGCCACACGAGCAAGGGCGGATAGGGGCGTTTTAGCCTTTGAGGTCGTGAAATGGCGGGAGTCACGTGGCGCAAACATAACCGCATTGGTGCTCCGTACAACACCACAACGCACGAATCATGCGCCCGTTTGTTACCAGAAAAATGCATTTTGTACGTTGGTGACTTGGTGATTGTACTTTGATAGGATTCGTCAAACAACAATTATCTAAGTCATACTCCTCCATAAGGATGGGGTGGGGCTTGGGGTGGGGCGGGGAAGGGGATGGGTGATATATTTCTACCCCGCTAAAATATGGGACGAGAATGGAGATTACTACACCCGCCCCGTCCCCGCCCCGTATCCGTTATAAATATATATACTCAAACATAGATATATATACATACATACATATATTAATAATGTATAAACATATTTAATTAAATTATATGTACTATATAACAAACACATACACATACTTATAGACACGCATACATGTATATATGTGTAGTGGTCATGATTAATGAACTGAGGATGTTTTTACTTGGACTGTAATTTGCTGGTCTGGTCTGATCTGGTCTGGTCTGAACTGGTCTGATCTGGTCTGGTAAGGTCTGATTTCTTTGTATTTTTATAACTATCCAAGTCTGGTCTGGTCTGGTCTGAACTGGTCTGGTCTGATCTGGACTGGTCTGGTCTGGTCTGGGGCAAATTACAGTCCATGTAAAAACATCGTGATACTACGTAAGTATTATATTAGAATAATAAGTAATGACTAAAAATATTTAGCATAAATGATGTATGAGTTTTAAAAGTGAGAAACTAAGTAAATAGAACGCGCACACACTCACACACACATATGTATAATATATATAATTAATTGTAGTATAATTGATGAGAAATTTGGAATGACATACATGATGGTAATATGTTTACTTATATTATTTTTAGTTTTATTATTTTCATACACCCAGAACCATAGAATCCAATTGATATTCATTTGAAATTCAATACACAAACATCAAATGGTTATTTAATTTTTAAAGTGTTGAATATCAGTAAAAGTGCCCGACGCAGGGGAAAAACTTTATTAGAGAAATTATTAGACGAACTAGAACGGAATTTAGAGAAATTTCAATGAAACTTCTTGAACTTATTCAAATTGAAAAATTATTAAAAATTAACGGTATCATCTTTTATCGAACACAATATTATCTAGTTTAACTCTTTCAGTGCTATATATATATATTTATTTATCTATAAAATGGATTAAGAAATACACAAATAAGATTAAAATATATATGGGGGCACCCGTGGGGGACACCGGCGTGAGGCGGGGATGGGGCAGGTCTGGGAGTGACGGGGGATGGGGCGGGGATGGGGGGAACTTTTTAGACATGGGGCGGGGGATGGGGGAGTGAACCCCCGCCCCAAACCCGCCCCGTTGCCATCCCTACTCCTCCATCCACATTCTTCCCACGTTGGCATAAATTGGAGTTTAAGAAAAGAGAAAAGGGTCAAATAAGATCTTCTATTATTATGAAATCATCACATAAGGTCATGTACTCAATAAAGTGTCATATAAATGCGCTACTTATAAAAAGCAATCGAATGAGTAAAAATGACCTTTTGACAACCTCGTAATCCCGGTTTTAGCGTATAAAGGATCAAAATGACTATCTTTTAAATATAGATTATATGATTGGCGTGCAATATTTAGTTATGATTGACTTAAATACAAGATAAAACTAACATGTGAGCTAAAGTCATGATTTAGAGGTTGTAAACGGGTCATTAGGACTCATCCAATTGCTTTTTATAAGTAGATGTACTTATATGACACTTTATTGAGTACATGTCTTATGTGACGATTTCATAATAGTAGAAGACCTTATTTGACTCTTTTCTCTTAAGAAAATGATAATAAAACGAAAATGTATAGTTGTGGTTGATGACAAAAATGTTAATGAATATTTTTTTGATACTTTATAAGGACATGTTCTAAAATTTATCAGACGCTAGTCGGGTGGTTGAGGGGCGCTCAACTCCTAGGCGACTAGACTGATTAGATCGATTAATCAGTCCAACTAGGCTGATTTTTAGAACAATGTTAAAAAGAAAAATGCAAAGAATTTTTGGGACGTATAAAAAAGGTAAGTGTGAAACATTTTCAGGGACGGAGGGTGTATAACTCATATTACCCTTTATCATTAGACTGTTAATATTCAAATCATAAATATAAAAATGTGTGATTGATTTTTGTGCTAATAGAAAAAAGATGAATATAATATTATAATCACAAATAATTAGCGGAAGTGATAAAGTTTCGGATAAAATCAAAGGGGTTGCTTAGCGCACCCCCGTTTGTACTTAACGTAACCCTGCTATGACTAAATTGACCTTTTTAATTACAAGTATTTAATTAGTTTAATCCAAATTGACGTTTAGCTGCCGTAGGATCACACCGCCTGCTGTCTTGTCCCATGGCCTATCATCTTTAAAAATTGATACTCGATCCAATAACTTATTCTCATGTGGTAAATATTTTTTTTATTATAAAATTTTATATCTTCTTAATTTGTGTTCAAATTTTTATAAAAAACAAATCAAATTAAATATTTTTTATGATTTTTCATATGACATCAATATTTCATATCTAATTTTTTTAAGCAGATTATTCTAGCTAGGTGTATTTAAGTGTGGTCTGGTGATCAGCCCACAAATGTGTACTCCGTATTTAGTATTATTTAAATCTAGCCTAATCTAACTTGATTTGTTTAAATCTATCTAGATCGAAATTAGTTCAATTAAAAACATCTTAAATGTCATTCACATGTGCGCTCATAGATATACTCCGTAACATATATGGCCTTAATGCGGAATCAACATGGTGCTTATGATGTTTTATTAAATGACGGCCCCTCTCATCTAGGGTTGTTAACGAATTGAATCGAATAATTATTGAATATCGTTTAATATCTAATATGAGACTGAAACGTGTTCAACTCAAAATATCTATTACATTATACTTTGTACAAGTTTAAACACAATAAAAAAATCAATTATGGTTGTTTATAATATTTACAAACTTTAGATAAATAAAAATATATTAATCTACATTCTAAATTATATACAGTAGCTAGTAATTTATAAGAAGACACAATTGAAACTTGAAATATGCTTATTAGTTTGTTAGAAATTTATTTATTGTGTGACATTAATTTATTACTCCATATTATACTAACAATAAGAATGTTTTCAATTGAATTAAAACTTACTGGTCTCGTTCAATCTGGTATGATCTCATATTTTTTTTAATTTAAATTTAGTCTAGTCTAGTCTGAACTGGTTTGCCCTGTTAGACGTCTGCTTCTATGCATGTGTGTTTTTTCTATGTGTTTTATTCAACTATCAAAATTTGGTATTGTCAGATCTGGGATCGTAAACAACACACAAATAAAAACATCCAAAATAGTGTAAGTCCCAGTTAGATGATACGGAGTAATAAAATAAAGACAATATTCAATATAAAGATGAATGAAATGTGTATATGATCATCAAAATATTATCGAATATGGCATACGGCAAACTTAATGAAACGTATCAAAGAGAAGAACTGATATACACATAATGGGACAAATGAAGTGACTAATATCAATTAAGATAGATAAATCATAAGTCAGGAAATCAAGAATACTACTCTCTCCGTCCTATATTAGTTGTCTTACTTTCCTTTTTGAGTTGTCCCAAAAAGATGTCATGTTCCCCTTTTGGGTAAGAAAGTTGTGGTCCATATCATTTCACGTCATTCTACTCAAATTTCAACCACAACTTTTACGTTTCAACTACTTTATTAATAATCATGTCAAATTGAAATGAGACAACCATTATGAGACGGAGGTAGTATTTAGTACTTCCTCCGTCCCGCAAAGAAGTTCCTGGTTTGACCTACACACATATTTTTTTAAAGCACCCACACACATATTAAGAAAATAAACTTACCAAGGAGTAGATTTTACTGTTTTGACACTGTTTCAACATTGTTTGACACTGTTTTGCACTGCTTTGATGTATATAACTTACCATTTAAGAAAATGAGAACTTTTTGGGACTGCTAAAAAAGGAAAACGGAAACTTCTTTGCGGGACGGAGGGAGTATAATAATTTAATAAAAAAATTATCCTCCATTTTATAAGAAGATTGTAAAAAATTTATAAGAACATTAATTATGTATTACAAAAATTTATATAGTTGTTTTTGCAAGGACAAACATTTATATAGTTATTGCTTGATGGTAATTATAATGTGTGATCCTGATTATATTAGGAATTGCAGTGTATTTCAAAGATAATTACATTGTTTTTTTTAGAAAAATCATACACATAATTTAAGAAAATATTAGAATAAACCTATTTGTATTTTAAAAGAGCAATAAAAGGAGGCTCATTAAAAAAAACTGGACCAATAAAAGGAGGCCCATTCGATACTCGATAGTGATGATCATATACCTTGCTCCGTATTAGTTACTCCGTAGAAAATTTGAGATTTACGGAGTATTCCGTATGAACTAATCAAAGAGGACAAATGTGTCCGATAACAGGAAAAAAGAGGTGCGCCTAGCACCATTAGGGGTGCGCAGAGACAGAGCCAAATCAAAACAATTAAATTGACAAAGTGCAAAAGATAACTTAATTATTAATAGAACTAAGAACCGACAAAGTTTAAAAGAGCAATCTTTACCATCTTGGCCTTAGAAATTTAGTCCGTTCAGAGCTGAATTATTGGCCATATGCCAAGCTCTTAGCTAGCTAAAAATCAATCTTTCTTCGCCGAGCGTGGAGGTGGGATCCAATGTAGTGGGGAGCCAATTCTGAAATCGGAACGCTTCTAGTGTTTCTACTTGGAAGTTTTTGGAGTTTATACACCTTTTTTCTCATATTATTACACGATTTGGGAATAATGTTATTCATGAATTAACCAGAGTGATTTGATCTTTGTCTCATAGCCGT